CTCACACCGGTCAGAATGGCCGCCATCAACAAATCATCAAACAACAAGTGTTGGCTAAGGTGTGGAGAAAAGGGGACTCTAATACACTGCTGGTGGGAATGCAGACTGGTGCAGCCACTATGGAAAACAATATGGACTTCCGGTCAAGATGGCGGCGTAGGTAAACCCGGTATTGTGTCCTCCCACAACCCCATCAAAGATACAACTAAACTACAGAACAACCGTCATTCAAAACTGCCTGAAATCAAGCTGAATGGAAGTCCTATAACTACGGAATTAAATCAGCAACCACATCCAGACTGGTAGGAGGGGCGGCGGCGCGATGGCTGCGCGACGGGCTGGTCCCACACCCAAGTGTGGCGGATAAAAATCAGGAGGCTTCCGCAGCTGGGAAGGTCCTTCCTGAGGACTGAGGGGTCCCCGTCCCACACCAGGTGCCCCGCTCAGGGTTCCAGTGCCAGGAAGAGAAGTCCCCATAACTCTGGCTGGAAAAACCAGGAGGAACTGAGGCTCAGGGAAGCTGAAGCAGCTGGAGCCCAGGCAGCTCCTTAAAGGGCCGCACAAGAACTTTTAGGACTCTCTCCCTCTAAGCTTGGAGGGGAGGCAGCTTGAGGGGCACCAGAAACATACAGGGAGGAACTGCGCTGTTTGGCACTGGAGTGAGGGCTGGAGAAGGGGCTTTCTCCGGGACAGGCATGATGTCAGAGGCCTTTGTTCCTTTAGTGAGCCCTTCCCTGGGGCGGCAGACAGCTGCCATATCTGGGACTCCAGCAACCTGGCTCACACTGCTAGCCCCGCCCTGCTGACTCCCTGAGGCCCCACCCCACCCCACCCAACTTTCAGGCCCACCCAAGCTGTTGTCACTTGCTTAACCATAGGATTGGCCTGTCTTGGATCCTGCTTCAGGTTTTTCCTAAATTCATTCAAACGAGCAGCATCTGGTCTCAGCTAGCCCCATACCACTCGTTAAGTAATACACAGAAACAAACTCAGGGAGGCAACCAAAATGAGGAGACAAAGAAACAGGTCCCAAATGAAAGAACAGAACAAAACCCCAAGAAAAGAACTAAGCAAAATGGAGATAAGCAACCTAACAGATGCTGAGTTCAAAATACTGCTTATAAGGATACTCAATGAACTCAGTGAGAACCTCAGTGAACTTAGTGAGGGCCTCAAGAGCATAAAAAAGGACCAATCACAAATGATGGATGCACAGTCAGAATTGAAGGAGGCATTAACTGAAATAAAGAATAATTTACACAGATTCAATAGTAGATTATGTAAATCCAAGGAGAAAACCATCAATTTGGAATATTAGGAAGCAAAAAATCCCCAATCAGAAGAGCAAAAAGAAAAAAGAATCCAAAAAACTGAGGATAGTGTAAGGAGCCTCTGGGACAACTTCAAGCGTGCCAACATTCGCATCTTGGGGGTGCCAGAAGAAGAAGAGAGAGAACAAGAAATCGAAAACCTGTTTGAAACAATAATGGCAGAAAACTTTCCTAACTTGGTGAAGGAAACAGACATACAAGTCCAGGAAGCACAGAGAGTCCCAAATAAGATGAACCCCAAGAGGCCCACACCAAGACACATCATCATCAAAATGCAAAAGGTTATGACAAAGAGAATCTTAAAAGCAGCAAGAGAAAGGCAGATAGTTACCTACAAGGGAGTTCCCATTAGGCTGTCAGCTGATTTCTCAAAAGAAACTTTGCGTGCCAGAAGGGAGTGGCAAGAAATATTCAGAGTGATGAAAGCCAAGAACCAACAACCAAGATTACTCTATCCTGCAAAGCTGTCATTTAGAATCGATGGCCATATACTTTCTCAGACAAGAAAAAGTTAAAGGAGTTCATCACTACCAAACCGTTATTATATGAAATGATGAAGGGTCTTTTTGAAGAAAAAGATAAAATGTATGAACAAACAAAATGTCAATGAATACATATATCAACAATGGAATCTACAAACAAAATGAACAGGTAGAACAGAAACATTGTCATAGATACAGAGAACATTTTGTTGGTTGCCAGTTTGGACGGGTGTTGGGGGAATGGGTGAAAAAGGTGAAGGGATTAAGAAGCACAAATTCATTGCTAGACTGACAAATCTTACAGGGAAAGGGGTTGCGGGGGTGGAAAGAAATAAGCCAAGGAACTTATATGCATAACCAATGGACACAGACAATAGTGTGGGAAAAGGTGGGAGGGGGGCGGGAGTGGGGCGGAGGGGTCAATGGGGGAAAAATGTGTAACATCTGTAATACATTTTACATCCAACAATAAAGATTTGAAAATAAAAAAAGAAAAAAAAATTAAAAAAAAAAAGAAAACAATATGGTGTTACCTCAAAAAATTAAAAATTGAACTTGCATTTCACCCAGTGATCCCGCTTCTAGGAATATACCCTAAGAAGCCTGAAACACCAATCAGTAAGAATATATGTACCCCCATGTTTATTGCAGCACTATTTACAATAGCTAAGATCTGGAAACAGCCCAAGTGTCCATCAGTAGAAGAATGGATAAAAATGCAGTGGTACATATACACAGTGGAGTACTATGCAGCTGTAAGAAAGAAAGATCTCTTATCCTTTGAGACGACATGGAGGGACCTGGAAAGTATTATCCTAAGTGAAATAAGCCAAGCAGAAAAAGACAAATACCATATGATCTCACTTATATACGGAATATAATGAACATAACAGTCTGAGGAATACGGTAGACCCAGAAACATGGAAGTAGGGCACAGACTGACATCCGTCAGAAGAGGATGTGTGTGTGGGGGGGAGGTAAACCACAGAACTTATATGCATATATACATAACCAATAGACATGGACAACAACGCCAGGACGGGGTGGATGTGGGGCAGGGAGGGTGGTGCCAATGGGGTAAAAAAGGAGAAACATCTGTAACAAAAAAATAAATAAATAAAAATTTTAAAAAAAGAAGACATGTCAGCCACCAAGTACTCACAGTGTGAGCCGTAGAACCCCAAGAAACACCCTGTTCTCCATTCAACCCAGGACTGGCACTCACTCTAGGACAACACAAACTTAGGCACCCCTGCAGGTGGCTGACGTGGGGTACTGCTCACCCTACCTATGAGGGGAGGTTCAAGAGGAGACTCCTGAGGAGAAGCCTTGCAGGTGGCAAAGGATCTTTGTTCTGAAACCTTCCAGGGGCCAGAACCCAACCAAAGCCTGGTGGGGCCCCTGGCCTGTTGGTGTGATCACTCCTTTTCATTCCAATTACCACTTTTATCTTATTCAAAAGTCCATAAGTCTCATTAGATAACATAAAGAGGAATCTGGACTCTTGGAATCAGACTAGGCAGGGAGTGGCAATTTCCTCCCATTCACAGTTACTCTGCTGTACACGGACTGGGCCCTGCAGCTTCTCCTGAGTGAGTTCCCTATGACTCCTGTGTCCCACCTGCCTTGGCATCCCTGTTCCCAACATCCTCAGCTCATCTGTAGAGCTGATACTTCCCTAACCCAATGGCAGGCACTCAAGTACAGCAAAGCCAGAGCCCAGCCCTTCTTCAAGGTCAAGCCCAGGTGTCAGCATAAAGAGATACAGGCATCGCAGACCCACCCCACAGGCAGATGACACAAAATGTGAAGCAGACACGTTGCCACAGTAAGTCTAAGAGCTGGGGGAGAATGTGAGCTCCCTGACCCCAGGTCTAAGGCCCCATACTGGGTGTCCCCCAAGATCTGTTCTAAGAAGCACAGGAGCCCTGGCTGGTTTGGCTCAGCAGTTAGAGCATTGACCCACAGACTGAAGGGTTGAGGGTTTGATTCCCAGTCAAGAGCACGTACCTGCATTTCAGGTTCTATCCCCAGCCCCGGTTGGGGTCATGTGGGAGGCAACCAATGGATGTGTCTCTTTCACATCAATGTTTCTCTCTCTCGCTTCCCTCTCTCCGTCCCTCCCTTCCTTCCACTCTATCTAAAATTCAATGGAAAAATATCCTCAGGTAAGGATTAAAAAATAATAAAAATTAAAAATAAAGAAGCACAGGACTCATCCCCAAATAATGGGGGTGGGGGTGAGGTCCAGGCAGCAAATAGACATTAAACAGGTTAGAAGCTCAGTGAAGGACTAACCAAATAAACACAACACCAACTGAACCATACATGGTCCATAGCAATGGGTACCACAGGGATGGTTCTGATGAACCAGACAAGCTGGCAAGAGGAGGAAGCACATCTTTACTCAGACAGGGCCCAGAAAGCAGAAAGTGGTTTGAACCGTGGACATGCCTGCTACTTGACACTAGAATTCCAGGCTCAGCTTAGTACCATTTGGTTGGGCAGATGCTTTCCTGCCAGAGTCTCCAGTAGAAGCCAATTTAGAAAGGCCACCCAGATAAGGACAGATAAGGACAGCCATGCTCCAAGGCACGTTTGACTGCAGGACCTTCTTCAGAACCTTTTTCAGATAGCAATACACATGCTGAATAAGACTACCCAGGACTCCCTAAAGTGGAGCAGCCCTAGCCTGAACTCTCAATAGAGCAGGGCAGGATGTCAGGTTTCGAGCCACCCTCAGGACAGAAGAGGCAGGTGCTGGCCCATATGAGAAGCAGGCAATGCTCTTGAAAGTGAATAGGTGGTGATGAGCAGAAGCATCCTCTGGAGATGGGGAAGAAATGGGGGTGGGGGGGGCAAATGAAAGCACATCCTGCCAGCAAGAGTGAGCCCAGCAGCAAAAAGGCAAAGCTTGAGGGGCCGAGAAGAGAGGAAGGGAGAGGGACAATGAAATCAGGGCAGGTGCAAGAAAGTATAGAGACAAAGAATGTCTCAAGTTGAGAGTAATTCTGCACTTGAGGATAGACAGAGAGCTCCCCAAAGCCTTTTAATGTTAGACTAAAGGCTCCCTTAGGCTGGTGAGCCTGGTGTCCAGGGCAGAGTTAACCCCTGACCAGCAATAGCCACCCTCATTGCACCAGGCAGGGGCAGGCTTTCCAGCCTAACATGGCCTCCCCAGGGCTACCTTTTTTGGTCAAGGATACTCGGTAGTTCTCTAGGAAGATCACTTTGAGCCTCTTGCCCACAACTGGATTATAGTTGACAACATCACCAATGGATGTGACCAGCTTGATGATCATCTTGGCCATGTGGTATCCAGGAGCTTCCTAGAAAGAAGGAACATTAAGCATGAACACACCTATGCTTGGGGCCAGCATTGTTACTGGTCACTGGAGCCTGGTGCAGGACATTCTGAGGTTACACATAGCTAAGCAGCCCCTTGGTGTCCAGAAAGGGTGAAGCCATGGCATCCCTGCGAGTCCTCCAATCAATCTGGCAGACAGACTCATGACAGAAGAAACTGAAACCCTATCAGGTAAGCCCTACCTGCTCTCCTTCAGCTCTGACAGAGCACATCTTATGCTGGCCACCTCACCTGTATGCAAAAGTCTGTCAACCTCAAGTCTATTTTCTGATTCTAGTCAGTTTTCAGAAATTAAGAGATAAAAGGAATAGGACTGTTAGAACTGACTACCAACTTACCAACTAAAGAACATAATGGAACATCAGAAGGATGCAGTCAGGTTAAGCAAGCTGGGGAAGACACACCACCCAATTTCTATAACAAAAATAATTGCAGGGGGAAAAAAGAGACATGGAGAAAATTTACAGATGAAGAAATTTAAGAGGCAGCCATGCTAAGCCTTTGCTGGGGTTCTGATTCAGACAAACTGCTCAAGATATCTGTAACTTGAATATCAAAGTGTGACAAAGGTCTTGTGTGGTGGTGTTCCAGAGTCTGTTTGTATTATGGCTTAAGGGGAAAACATCACTGAACATGTGTGAAGTGCTGAGGGTTAGTGTTTTATTGTCTGTGGTTTTCTCTGAAATGGTCCAACAGAACTCCAGCTTTATGTATGTTCTACAATTATTTCTACTTTTCTCTAGGCTTGAAATTTTTAATATTGAAATACTGACAAATAAAATGTCATGATTTCTAGAATGTGCTTCAGGAATAGCAGGAGTTGGGGGTGAGGGGAGTGGGCAGAGACCAAACAAGGTGGGTGTGTGCTGCTGTCTGAAGCTAGTGGGTTCACAGAAGGGCTTGAGCCTCCTATTCACCCTCATGTGTGGTTGAGTCAGAAGAAAGGACAGAACCTGGCCTCACCCCGTGATCCCCATAAAGAAGCTGTGCCCCAGAGCTCCTTACACTCCCTGATGACATCAGGCTGTTGGGGAGAAGTGACAGAGGGTAGACCCTAGAGCACAGAACACAATGATGAGACCTGCCAATGCCTAATGTGATACACTAGATTCCACAATAGTGTGTGCAAAGCATGTGCCACAGTAAATAAAATAAAATAAAGCCAGGCAGAGCTCAGAGTAGGCTCACATCTGGTCAATGAAGCAGCCATCAACCTGCATCCTCTCAGCACAAGTACATATGTGTGTGGAGGGGGCAGTGCAAGCTGGGGACCAAGAGCCAGGCACAGTGTGGAAGGGCAGTGCTTATGCAGAGAAAGGGTACCGCCCCATCAAATGGAGGGGCCAGCAAGCCCACTGGGGGCTTCCTTCGAGGCTGGGGACTCACCCCTCATCCCATGTGCTGGGCAGGCAGGGGTCCCATCTAGCTCTGTCCTATTGCTGAGCTGGTGAAGATTGAACCAACTTGGCCCACCTGGGGGCCAGGGATCAATCCTCTGGCATTGTGTGCATGCTGGCTCTGAGGCACCCATAGCATCCTGTCAAGTGGGCATTTGGTGCACAAGTTGGAACCCAGTGGCATTGTTGAAAAATGTGGTGGTTTGCGCATTCTGGCCAAATATCCAGCAAAGAGGACATCACCTCACCTTACTCCCAATTATGACAGTTCTGTGCACAAAGGCCTTGGCAAGGTCATTCTTTATTCCTTCAGGACAAATGAGATTCAAGTGAGCTGTGGTGACCAGTGTCCTCAGAAGTCAACCCAACACCAGTGGGCCTTGCACATCCACCAGGAAATCCCACAGAACAGCAACAAGGCCCCTAGATTCTGCATTTGTGTTCCAGGGTAGTGAGGAAGACCAGCCAGGAGCAGACTCTTCCAAAGGCCCACAAGAAATGTTGTGTCTCTGTTTACAGAACACCCCAGCACAGGAGCCTGGTTTGGGTCTGGTCAGTAGTACTCAAGGCCCTTGTACATAACTGGCACTCAAAAAAATGTGACCTCAGGATTGTGGCAATGGCATCATCAGCCCTCAAGGGGTGTCAGGCAAGACCCCAAGTCACCCCACTCTCCTCTGAAGTTCTCTCATGGGGGCAGACTGAGGATCAAGCACTATGTATAGTCAATTATGGTCAACTCACCTTCAGCCCCAGCAAACTGAATGTGTCCTCACCAGGCCACCAGTTTTCAATTTCAGTGTGGGATGGGAGGGAGGATATTTACACAGGGATGAGAAGCAGCCCTAGACAGCATTAGCATTTACCAGACAACTGGGAACCAACCATAAGCAGTGTAGAGTTGTGGATATCTTTAACATCTGACTTCATGTTTTAGTAGGAACATAACTGTATCTGTCTTCTGAATCTTCCCACTTCCAGAAATCAGACAGAATAACTTTAAGTGTAGAAAAAAATAAAAACACAAACTACATTTTCACCAAAACTAGGAAAGAGGAAAAATATATGCAAACTGCAGACCATTGTGCCAGTTCTGTCAGGCCATGGGGGTGGGTGAGGAACAGGGCTGGGAATGCAAGGGTATTCAGACCTGGCCTCCCCAGTGGGGCCATGAGCAAGAAAGACAGGGAAGGAGTCCCAGGGGACAAGGCAGGCTGACCTCATCAGCACCTCTCCCATAAGAAAACCTCGGGAGGAGAATCTGATATCATGTGGACAGAGGCCCACAGGCCAGAAATCATGACAGCAAGGTTGAGGAACCCCTGAGCCAGGGTGGACTTGGAAGACACAGAGGAGATGCAGCCAAAGAGAAGTACCAGGCCTAGGGGGAGTCAGAAGCTGCTCTGGAGCCCCAAATAGCTCTTGCTGGTCAACTTGAGCAGGGCAGCTGACTCATCTAGGAACTACAAACATGAACACAGCTTCCCTACAGACAAGAGGAAATGGAACAAACTTCCTGTGAGAATCTCCACCCTGTGATGAAAACGGGACCGCAGAGCTGAACTGCAAGACCTTGGAGAAGAGTAGAATGTGGAGAACATTAAATGAGAATTGGCAGAACACAGAGGTGAAAAGGCAGAACTGTCATATGTGCAGTCTGATTACAGAAGTCAAGAGGGAGAGAAGACTCACAGCACAGAAGACACAGAGGATGGAAATGAGACGAGCAGAAAACCTAACAGAAAAGGAAAGATCTTTAGAAATGTTCAGAGAGAAATCAATAGGCAAGAAAGTAGGTAGAAGAAACAGCCCACCCCTCACCCCCAACACACAAACACACCTAGCTACAGTCCCAGAAGAAAAACAAAAAAACAAAACTAACAGATGTTTTAAATACATTTTAAGAAAACTTCCTAGAAATAATGCAAGATAGCAATCAACATATTCAAAGAGTAGCCTGAGCATCAGGGAAACTGACCTACAGCGGTCAGCACCCAGACACAGCACAGTAAAATTAACATAGACTCAGGACACACCAGAACCCATCCTCTAGACTAGACAGAGGAACACAGGACTTAAAAGATAATCAATGAACAAAAGTGAACTGAGAATGTCACCTTCAAACCATCCTTCATGTTGAAAGAATAAGCAAGAAGTTGGGGAGTACAGTTCATGGGAGTGGTATTGTGAACAAGAGGGAAATCCAGGCAGGATGGTTTTGCAAAATGACTGGTGAGCATTAAATGTGTTCCTCCACAGACTAAGACAAAAATCAAGTCAGGGATGAGGACAGCAGAGTGTCAACCTTGTGTGCTCTAACCATGGAGAAAGCACCTGCACACACACGTGCACATGTGCACAGGCAAATGAAGAGGAAATGAGCACAAGCCCCTGACTGACTCATCAGAACAGGTGGGGATCACAGGGTATCATTAACAGCTGACAAGCACAACAGGAAGAGTACATGATGGAAGTACAAAGGTACATACTAGGAGAGGTGACAAAGAGATTACTAACTGCAGGTGGGGCCACAGTAGAAAGAAGAAAGGGGTGCCCTGTGATTTATCTGCTGCTCATAAACTGGATTCAAGGAGGGAACTCAGGGTCATCACTGAGGAAATGGCAAATAAAATGCAGAAAATCTTGACTGCAAAAGAAAACCATGGCAAATGAAACAGAACAAGATCTCCATGAACGACTATTTTTGGCCAGGGAAATGTGTGGTAAATCACCTCCTTCAGCCACACACAGGAGGACCCTCACCTGCAGCTTTCTCTGAAGGTTTGGGATCAGAAGTATCAGAAGCACTCAAGCTTAAACATCTATTCTGTTACTCAACTGTCTCACAAGGAACCAGATTCCTCTACCTGACTGAGTCTTATTGGTTATAGGAGTGTTAATGTTCTTGAGAGAAGGTTTCTATCTTGAAGAATATGTGTGGTTTCTGAGAGAGAGTGTGAGTGGATGTAAGCAACCTCAAACAGTGCAGAAACATGGAGCAGAGGGTTCTGGTGCTGAGGACGAGGGAGTACCCAGCTACCGTGGTAAGCGGCTTGTTAGGGCACTTCTTCCTGCTCGGCTGGAAGGCCCTACCATTTTGGAAGATCTGCTGGTCTTCTCTAGGAGAAGGCTAGTGGGGAGCAGCTAGGTCGCTCACCTAAGTTCACCAGTGCGCCTTGTACCATCAGACCAATGGACCCAGCTGTGTCAACACAGACCAGTGCACAGTAGCAGCACTGTGGAGATGCCTGCTTGTGGAAGCAGCAACTGGCTGGGAGCAAGCACCATTCCCCACATCAGCAGCAGTAGCACCAGCTTGGGAGAAGAGCAAATACCCGCAACAACAGTTGCCTGATCAGAGCCAAACACCATCCCCAACAACAGTAGTTCCAGGTTGGGAGCCCAGCATCTTTCCCAAGAGCAGCAGTGACTGGCTTGTGAGTGGAGCCCCACCCCCAACAGTAGCTGAGTCTGGGAGCTGAGACACACGCCCAGCAATAAAGGCTCCAGAGCGGACATCCATCTCCAGGTAGCAGCAGCAGTGCAGATCAGGGCCTGATACACTTCCCCAGCAGCATCAGCAGAGGCTGATGAGGAGTGGTGCCCCAACCCAAGCAGCAGCCAGGCTCAGGCAGCCAAGACCCACCCCTGACAACTGCAACAGTGGATTTAGAGTGGAGCCCCTCCCCCAAAAGCAACAAAGTCTCAGGAGCTGAGCATCCTCAGCCCCCAAAAGCAGCAGAGGATTAGGAGCTGAGAGCACCCCCTGGCAACAGTAGCAGCAGTAGCAGCATTAATAAGGAGCTGACACTTGCCCCCAGCAGCATTAGCAGTGACTGATCAGGAGCTGAGCCCCACCAGGCAGCAGCACACCCCAGCAGTGCACCAGCTAGACCTACATACCCAGCAGTACACCAGCTGGGCCTATGCACCCCAGCAGTGCCTACCACAACAGACCAAAACCAGCAATCAGTTGTCAATCCTCCAGGTCTCACAGCAGGCAAGAGGCACCATGCACCAGAAGAGTCTAGGAGGCATAGCATTCTTATTTGATACACACTGACCTGCCTACACATCCCAACATCTCTCACCAAGCCTGGAACTACCAGACTGCTAAAACAGTGAGACAAAGAAACAACCCCAAATGAAAGAAAAGGAGGAATCACAAGAAAAGGAACTACATGAAAAGGAAGCAAGCAATTTGTCAAATAAAGAATTCAAAGCAATGTTTTTACAGAGCTCAAAAACTTTAGTGAGAACTCCAAGCAACTTAATGTAAACTATAAAGAGCTCAGTGGGAACTACATCAGCATAAAAAAAGAGGTAGAAGCTATGAATAAAAATCAAGTGGCAATAAAGATAGACAAAGTTGATATAAAAAATATCTTGGAAGGATTCAATAGTAGATTAGAAGAAATGGAAGACCAAATCAGCGAGTTAGAAAAGAAGGTAGAAAAAAACACCCAAATAGAGCAGTAAATGGGGAAACAAAATTTAAAAAGCAGGAGGAGAGTTTAAGGGAGCTTTGGGACAATACGAAACATAACACCATTTACATCAAAGAGGTATCAGAAGGAGAAGTATTAAAAAAAGAATAGAGAACCTGTTTGAAGAAATAATGATAGAAAACTTTCCTAATTTAATGAAGGAAAATGTCAGGAGGGTCCAGGAAACACAAAAAGTCCCAAGCAAAATGAACCCTAGAAGACCCACAGCTAGATACATCATAATTAAAATGGCAAACATTAAAGACAAAGAAAGGATCTTAAAGGAAGCAAGAGAGAGACAGAAAGTTACCTACAAGGCAGCTCTCATTAGACTGTCAGCTGATTTCTCAATAGAAACTCTGAGGCCAGAAGAGAGTGGCATGAAGTAAACAAAGTAATGCAAGGCAAAGGTCTGAATCTAAGACTACTCTATCCAGCAAGGTTATTATTCAAAATTGAAGTGAAAGATTCCAAAACGGTGGGAGAGTGAATGGAAGCTACACACACCATCTCCCAGGACCAAACTGGAATTACAACTAAAATAAAGACAAATCGTCAAGAAAAAGCAACAGAAAAGCAGCTTGCAAGGACCATATAACCAGGGACACTTACTCGATCCTTGTAGGATTGCAAAGGCATGAGACGGGGCCTGGGAGCCCACAGAGAGCAGTGGTCTGAGCTGTCAGCAGCGCTCGTGGAGTTAAACTCCCAAGTGGTTCCATAGTGCAGAGCTGGGACAGATGCTAAAATAGCCAAGCCACTCACCTTGGGATCCGGCAGAGGGAGGGCGACTGGACTGGAACTAGGTTGGGACACTCGG